GAGAGAGAGAGAGAGAGAGAGAGAGAGAGAGAGAGAGAGATGTCAGAGCGGAGGGATAGAAGCACACATGACAGGTTGTGCCGATGGATGGATGGATGACGTATGAATCCGGAGAGATGGATAGTTGGATAAACTGATAGATGGATGGATGGGAGGGTTTGGAAGTGATCAGAATATGCAGATTAAAAAATTTCAGGAGAAAAAACAGTCTCCAAGGGTGCTTTGTAGGAAGTACTTCCCTTAAAAAAAAGTGGGGAAAGCAAACAGAGGAACGGACAAAGAAATAAAGACAACGCTCACTTGCAGGGTAATAGGTCGACTAATAATTATAATTCTTTTGTCCAGACAAGCCAACACAAGCTGATACAGTCACGAGAATCGTTATCTTTCGAACGTATCATTCGTTGTACATTCAAGAGTTCATTTCACGCCTTCAAGCCACTACAGCCATGTTCACGACCAAGAATTTCGAATTACATGTAGTTCAGCAAACTTTCTCAGCGATGTCCGCAACTGCTATTATGTTACAAACTGAAGTTTGCGACCTTTCATCCCTTCTCCCTGCACCAAAAAAAGTGTGTTCTTTAAAACTTTAAATACAAAAATAACCCATCAAAAACTTTACATAGCAACAACAAACAATAAAAAAAACCCCCCAAAAACCAAAAAATACAACCCCCCCCTCTATACAAGCAGCTTTATCCAACAGTCCCGCCCTTTTTAAAAATAATTTTACATAATATCACTTGGGTTTTTTCTGTAAAATATCTCAATGGTCTACAACTTAATGAAGTCATTCATGAAAGCGGAGACCGGGAGAGATGGAGGCCTGTAATGTTGTGGTATGGAGTGGGGCATCAGCGGGCACACATGGTCATCATGACAGGTGACAAGACCTTTAGTGGTGATTTCTGATTTGTCTATAGTCACCCCCCCCCCCCTTCCCATCCCTTTTTTCTACTGAGCCAAATATAACTAATATGACAACTATAAGAGCATTTAATTGACTGTCAATTGGCCCAGGATGACTTTATGTGCAGGTTAATGTTTTTATTTATGCGCGGTTGATAGGTTTGAATTGGTTGGCTTTGTACAAACAGGGGAAGCTTGTCTTGACATTTAGGGATAATAAATCCTAACTACCACCAACGAACACCCAAATTTTTTTCGAGGAAGTGAAATTGCACAATTGAAATTTGGTTGTTATGTCCTTGAAAATATCTTCAGTTTGTGTCTTGGACCAATCTTACAGCAGTTCGACAGACAGACAGACAGACAGACAGACGGATGGACAGACATACAGACAGACAGACAGACAGACAGACAGACGGATGGACAGACAGACAGACAGACAGAGGTGTTCTAGGCGTACGTGCCCGGACAGGGAAAAACAGCGACGGATTTGTGTGGTCAAGGCCATAAAGATTAGCGTTGAGAAAGGTCACTGTTCGCTCTCAATTTCTGAGTGACAGAATTACACAATAGATAGACATCATGTGTACAGGAAAGCACAGAAATAGATAATAATAATAATAATGATGATGATGATGATGATGATGATGATGATGATGATGATGATGATGATGATGATGATATAATAGTGCCACGCTCAACACTTTACAACATACTCAATGCACTTTACAAATATCATTATCCCAGTCGACCTTAGAACACGTATCGGAAACATTCTCATGTTCCCGGGAAGCTTTCGGTATAAACAAAGATCGTTGTGTATGATCATTGGTATAAACTACAGATTACAAGCGTTAAAACACTAAGAAACTGATCAGATCTTTCCCTGTCTGTAGCTTAGTATAACCGGGTACCTATTCTGAAAACTCGTGTAAAATGCCTTTCCCTAGGAAACAACGTCGGACCCCTAGCGGGATAGGCTAATACCATGCAGGGAGAAGCACCATTGAACATCACAAGAGAATTATTAACAGACAAGGCTGTCAGAATTGACTCGTATGATGGAAGGTACATTTCATACGCCCGTCATTAGCATGATTTAAATCATTTAGGTGAATGGCTGATACGGCCCCGTCTGTTGGGACAAACCCGAGCTGAGATGTGATAGGGTACCCCTACAGGCAAACATGGATACATGGAATTCGGAAAATTAACTCCCCAATAAGAATAATTAAACCAGTCCAGTTGAGTCCAGCACAGCCTGAAATAAGCATCAGATAATGTGATTTAAAGAAAAGCTCATTGATATGACAACTATTATATTATTTTAGTGTAGGGAGAAGAAAAATGACACTTTGGGAGAAACAACAACAACAACGCCACAGAAGTCCGGCGGTGGCATCTCTACGGGGAGGATTCAGGGAGGTTGGACTGCCTCACCCGCTACCCAAGGGAGGCGCTCTTCGGGGCTCCACACATTTCGAACGGATAGGCTACCACACACACACACAACAACAACAACAACAACAACAACAACAACAACAACAACGAAGACGACGACGACGGACGACAACGACGACAACAACAA